GAGAGAGAGAGAGTGTGTGAGAGAGAGAGAGTGTGTGAGAGAGAGAGAGAGTGTGAGAGAGAGAGAGAGAGAAAAGGAAGGGAAAAAGGAAAAAGGTTGAGTTTTGTGGAACCGCAGTTTGTTTCTCCCCATGTGACCTTTAGATTATTGCTCTCCAATCATTTCAAGTCTGCTTTAAGTGATCAGTAACTTCATCAGTAACATGACGCATGTACCTTCAGCCCACCTTTTATAATTATAGAATATGTAAAAGTTGATCGTCTGAGCCCCCACAGGTGGTGTTTAACACTCCAAACTCATTTACACAACAAAGACTGACAGAAAGAGAGATCAACTGATCAACACTCTGTGATCAATGCTTTGATCCACAGATTCTCAGTGTTTGGTTTAAACCTCCTTTTAGGTCTTTAATAAACGTGCTTTGTCCCAACATTCAGAGGCTGTGAAGCTGTAAATTGTCACGTTTTAGAAGATGAAGCCAGCAGACGGTAATTAAAAAACATTAAACTTTATCTGCACTACACTTGTTGGAGTTTGAGAGATTTTTATATAGAGTTTGTACTCTGATCCAAAGCTGCCGCCACCTTAAATCCACGCGTATTTGTTGGGTCTAACATGTCATTAACGCCTCGGATGAAGCTTGCTTTTTGCCCTGCATTGTTTTCAAGGTTGTAGAGAATAAAACTGCAGAACATCTGGCTGCAACTGTCTGTCGCTTTCAATCACACCAGGTTTCTTTCTTTTCTCCCCACGTCTGCCAAGTGCCTGGCACAAGTTTTTTTTGTTTTGTTTTTTCTTTAGGCTTTTCACACCCCGATCTCTCTGCTCCCTCTTTTTTTTTTTTTTTTTTAATCAAACGTCATCACTCAATGAAGGGAAATGAAGTGAGGTGTGTGTGTTCCTGTGTCCGTCTTTGCATTGCAGTGACTGTCCTGCTGTGGTGTGACAGGATCGTCTTTGTTACCTGTGGTGTTGCCTAACGTTGTGTTTCATACTGATCTCGATGTTTTTTCTTTTTTTTTTTTTTTTTTTTTGTTTCTTTTTTTTATTTATGGGTAGTCTGGATAGAGTTGTGCATTACTATAATGAATTTCATGTATGATTACAACAATTGTTTGATTGTATATTAAAAATAAAACCTGTAAAGATTAAAATTTGTTTTAAATTAAAAAAAAGATTCAAGTTGCACACGTGGACTGATGTGTGATTTGTTCTCGGCAGGTTTTGCTTGTTGTCAGGCTGTTGAGCTCCACTTGTTAGCTGTCATGAAGCTCACAAAAGTCCTCGATTTTAGAATCAGACAGACTTTTCAGAAAACTTTCCACGAAGACAAAGTTTATTTACCCTTTTCATTAAAATAGAAACTCATTCTTACAAAAAAGAAAAAGGTGCTCTATAAATACAAATCCATCACCTGTTGACCGACAGGTTACCAGGTCCAAAGGAAAGCTTTTACCTTCATTAGGTACACCTGATCAACTGTTTGTAAATCTAAATCTAATCAGCCAATCACATGGCAGCAGCTCAACACATTTATTCATATGGACGTGATCAAGACGACCTACTGAAGTTTAAACTGACACTGGTCTAAATGTTACAGAAACTGCTGGGATTTTCCCCACACAGACATCTCTCTGGTTTATGATCGGGAAAATATCCAGTGAGCAGCAGTTTTCTGGAGGATTTTATTTTGGCCAGTCTGCTTCAAGCTGAAGGCAGGCAGCAGTAACTCAAATAACTATTGTTACAACCATAGTAGACGATGCAGAAGAGCATCTCTGAATGTTGAATCTTGAAGCAGATGGGCTTCAGCAGCAGAAGACCACGTCAGCTGCCACTGCTGTCAGCTAAGATCAGGAAACTGAGGCCACAGTTCACAGGTTCACCAAAATTGGACAACAATAGACGGCGTCTGGTCTGATGAGTCTCTGGAACTTTCAGAAGGTAGGATTAGAAGTTGGTGTCAACTGCATGAACGCGTGGCTCCATCCTGCCTTGTATCACCAGTCCAGGCTGGTGGCGGTATAATGTTGGGGATATTTTCTTGGCAAACTTTGAGCTCCTCGGTACCAACTGGGCACCATTTAAAAACCACAGCCTGCCTGAGTATTAATGCCAGTCATGTCAATCCCTTTATGACCACAGTGCACCATCTGATGGCTGCTTCGAGCAGGACAACACACCATGTCAGAAAGCTCAGATCAAACTGGTTTCTTGAACATGACAATGAGTTCACTGAACTCAAACAACCTCCACAGTCTCCAGATCTCAGTGTGATAGAGCAGCTTTGAGATGCGGAGGAAGAGGAGATTCAAATCATAGATGTGTGATGCTGTCATCCCAACATGGACCATGAAGGTACCTAATAAACTGTGAGTGTAACTACTGGTTTGCTGTCTCTTTTCCTTTCGTGTAATGGCTGCTTTGTATTTCAGGTCATCAGGTTTTCTTTGGAGTTGTGGTTGCAATCTTGTGGTCTTTGCCAGAGGAAGAACCTGCAGACCGAGCTATCACTTACTGTAAACGTTGTAAGGATTTCATTATTGTTTGTAGTCAAATGCTGTGCAAATACTCTCCACCCTGCTTTGCATGTTGTTTATTGGTCGGGCACTTAGAAACATTAGCAGGGATAGGCACGCACTCACTCTCTGTTCTCATGTTGCTCCACAGCCATAATTTGCCATATTGTTGACACAGATGTGGCACATCTGGCAGCTGTGGTATAACTTTACTGCATATAATCTAAGATAAAAGCAGAATTTGATATGAAACTGATGATGTAAAGAAAATCTTGTTTAAAAAAGAATGTTATCCACTTTATCAGGTTCTTCCTCCAGAGCCAGTTGAAACAGGAAATGCCACCTAAATTTAGGGTGGATCTACTTACCCACTGGCTCATCTTACCCCACTTTCCTCCAAGGACACGCTGACACTGTGTGTGTGTGGCAGGACAGAACAAACAGCTAATAGGTTTCCACTGATGATTCTTCTACTGATGATTTGCTGTGCATAGACAGTATGAAACATCTCTCTCATTCAGTCTCTCCTAATAATCTCTGTGGTTGCAGCTTTCTCAACAACTGCTCAGTCATATTGCAAAAAATCTGACACGCGAAGTTATTTGTTTATACATGTTTGTAAAACAGATATTAATTGCTTTTTTTGTGATGTTAAAAAAGGATTTCAAGTCTAAAATGAACTCTTGTGTCTTACTGAAGCGTCTGAGGTTCCCTTTAGGTGTAATGCAACAGCCTGCTGCTGAAACAGAAAATGCTTCTCTCAGATCGAGACATTTGTTTATTCGCACTGCACTTTGTGATTTAGCTCTTGTCCTCAGACTAGCAGAAGCTAATTAGTGCACACAGGAAATCTTATAATGTTGTCCCAAACGCAGGAATGGGGTTGAGTTTGAGAGGTTCAGGTTTCCCAGAGATGAACCAGCTTCTGTGAGCAGTCCCTGCCCAGTGTCTCAGCGACCTGACAGCGATCCACATCTCCTCATATCCACTTACACATCTATCATTCATGACTCTGTCCTTTCCCTGTTCACCTATATTCACAAAACAGCGTCTGATCCTCTTGCAGATTCAAAAACAAACAGGGCTTTCTCACCTAAACCCATATTATCATCGGATTAGCTGTGTGAACATTTTGTGTGCAGCTTCTCAGTTTGTTGTTTGAATGAATGTGCTGCTGTTCACCTGCATTCTGAAAGAAACAAGACTTATTTTTTCTCTTCTCAGGAGATCTGTTTCCTCCATCACCTGTGCCTGGCACAGCCTCGTAGCCATGGCTACCACAGCCATTACACAAAAAGGTCTAACTTGCATTATTAACGCCTTTCACATGAATGCCTTCGGGAGCATACCATTTCAAGTTGAGGAAAAAGCACAGACCTTGAATGGTTTGTTATTGGACTGCAGTGAAAAAGAATAAAAGGACCAAAACTTCAATAACTTTGTTTTTCTTTTATCCTTTTTGTCTTTATTCAGCTTTTAAAGGAGGTCAGTTACTCCCACTTCCATCTTAGATTTTTATTCTTGATTCTACTAGAGTAACTTTGCATGAGTCATGGCTCAAAATAAGCCTTGTTAGTGTATTAATAAAGGGCATAGTTGCAGCCACGTGAAGCTTTAGCTTCACTTCTCTCAGGCAATCAGAAGTAAGATGACTGTTCCATTTTTTTCACAAGAGGTCACCACAGCTCCATGTTTTTGTTTTGTTTTTTTCATGTTACACTGGATGCTCTTTCTGATACAACCCCAAAGACATTTGTCTCCTCCTACAATTGATCCAGGAACCATTTGCTTGTTGGGAAAAAAAGGAAACACCAGAAAAAGCTGAGAACTACTGGTGTAAATGGAGAGGTGCTAATAATGGCTTATTTCATACAGGGTTGCTTGTGATAAATGATTACTTTGAACTGTGAATCATGCAAAGCTGCTGTAATAGCTGGAAATGAGCATAATAAGTTCCATTTAATATGCCAACTTCATGACTGATAATGAAAAAAGACATCAGACCAAACTGTGGAATCATTTTAAGCACAGCACTTTCATTTTATTCCACTACAAAAGAGAAGCATCTCAAGAGCACCAGAAGAAGCAGAACATCGCCCACTCATATCTGCCACAGACTGGACTGTAAGCCAAGCGAAGGGCCAAACAAAATGAGTCATTTCAGTCCCAGAGAAAGATGTCTAAAATCCCAACATGCAGCAGAAATACAACTGTACTGTAAAGCTTCTGCAGAAGCAAGACGAAGACGCAGAAATCGGGTCAGGAGTCAAATTAAAATAAAATCACAAAGGAAGCAAAGCTGCTCTTCTCTACTCAAGCGAAAACAAGACACTAGTCTTAGTAAGAAGATAAAAATGACTAAGAAACAAAAATCACAGCACAAAATGGGCAGTAATAATAAAAATACTCTAAGTATTTCAAAGGAAACATATCTAAGCTCCACCCAGTGTGTGTGTGTGTGTGCTCTCTCTCCTCGCTTACTTCCATGTTGTTAGAGATGCAGAGAGCTGTACAATCATGAGTAAGCAGTCAGACTGTCGGCTATTGCTCCTCGAGTCCGGCATGCATCTGTAGGCTGTGACAGTAGCTGGATGTGAATTCTGGAGTGGATCTAGGAAGCTCGAGGCAGATTTCTGAAGTATGTTGTTAAAAACCCCTAGCACTGTAAGAAACTACCAACTGAAAAATCCCCACAACTCTTTAAATAAGAACACAGGAAATGCCCGTTTACAATGCTTTGCTTTTACATTTACACTGATATTCCTCCGCCCGGATACATTCAAGCACCCAGAGTCTCCTTTTGATTGATTTTCAGTAGATGAGCCTGCAGAGGTTTAGAGAGATTGTTCACAAACGATAAATACAACTGATTGTTTCTCTTCAAAATGTGAACTTACGAATGTTTATGGACCTTTTTCAAGTGGAAATGCATAGCAGGGTAACGTATCGTCTCTCCAGAGCTCGCCACAGTTCGTCACACGTGGCTCTCGTAGAACACCTGGCATGTGGGGGTCTTGCTTGCCACCGGTTCGTCGGCGGCAGCGACCTCCTCGGTGTCCTCGGGCTGCTCATTGTGGTGAAGAGACGACGGCGGCGGGGACGGGG